ACATCTTTGTATATCATTTCTTGTGATACAATTAGCTCAATATTATTTTATCCTTGCAATACTGAAATATTGAAATTATTTCTTTGAAATTTATATTTCACATGGACCTCATGAAAATAAAGTGTAGGGATTCCTTGTGTTGCCTCATTACTATCTTAAGACTTGCTCAGTTTGTTTTGCAACAGAACATTGCATACCAAGCATTAAACATTTTTCTATATGAATACCATTTGGTGAAAGGTGATTTTCAAAGAGAAGACTTTAAAGAAGAAGATAGTATGAAAAATGATTAGACAGTAGGAGTCCAATAGCAGGAATTATGATGCTCTGTTTATGAGTGAATATTGTCTGATCTTTAGACACTCATATAAATATTCAATGAATGAATAAATGTACATTATTTATATTTTTATTTTGTGGATGAGTTTAGTCACTCACAATCCACTGAATAGCTTCACATAACTTTCTATAAAAACATTCCTCCAGATGCTATATTATATGTCGAGGTAGAAATCACATAATATTATAAACAAAATGTGTCACATGAATAAAACTGAATAAGCAGTGAGCATAAATAACAAGTCATTTTCTATCTATCTGTTCTCTTTTTTTAAGATATTTATTTATTTATTTGAAAGGTAGAGTTACAGTGAGAGGGAGAGACAAAGAGAAAGGTCTTCCTTCCGTTGGTTCACTCCCCAGATGGCCACAATGGCCGGAGCTGCACCGATCCAAAGCCAGGAGCCAGGTGCTTCTTTCCAGTCTCCCATGCAGGTGGCAGGGGCCCATGCACTTGGGCCATCTTCTACTGCTTTCCCAGGCCATAGCAGAGAGCTGGATTGGAAGAGGGGCAGCTGGGACTAGAACTTGTGGCCATATGGGATGCTGGAGCCGCAGGTAGAGGATTAACCTACTGCACCAGAGCGCCGGCCCCTCTATCTGTTCTACATTTACAAATATACAAACATATGTATGTACAAATATACATATGTACATACATAGATACCACCCACATTTTTGAGTCTTATCTGTTGGAACAGCTAAAAATAAATTAAGGAATTTTTCATTTGAGAACACTGAAACAATTCTCCACAAATGTCAAGGGCTGCCTTTGGGTTGACAGTGTATTTATCAAGTATGTAAAGCCCATGAGAGTATTACAGGCATGGAAAGCCAAAACACTCTGGCAAAACAAACAAACAAACAAACAAACAAAAACCCACACCAAAACCCTAAATGAAAGATCTGTGCGAGTGAGATCCCAGTGGAAAGAACAGGTCATCAAAGAAGGAGGTACCTTTCTCTGAAGGGAGGAGAGAACTTCCACTTTGACTACGACCTTGTCTAAATATGATCAGAGTTGGTGAACTCAAAAGTCTTCCATAGCCTTGGTGACTCATGATAAGAGCCTAGGGTGATTACTGATGCCATAAACAAGAGTGTCAATTTGTTAAGTCAACAACAGGAGTCACTGTGCACTTACTCCTCATGTAGGATCTCTGTCCTTAATGTGCTGTACATTGAGATTTAATGCTATAACTAGTACTCAAACAGTATTTTTCACTTTGTGTTTCTATGTGGGTGCAAACTGTTGAAATCTTTACTTAATATATGCTAAACTGATCTGTATATAAAGAGAATTGAAAATGAATCTTGATGTGAATGGAAGGGGGGAGGGAGAGGGAAAGGGGAGGGTTGTGGGTGGGAGGGAAGTTATGAGGGGGGGAAGCCATTGTAATCCATAAGCTGTACTTTGGAAATTTATATTCATTAAATAAAAGTTAAAAAAAAATATCATTATGAAGTTATCTGTCTCTAACATGAAGTCAGGTTTAATTGTGTCCTTTCTCATAGTTAGACAGTAATTATGAGATACAGGTTTCTAGTAAGACATTGAAAGAGAAGAAAGAAATCACAGAATTTGGGTCCCTAATGATGTCAAATTTCCAGTATTGATGTATTTTATAAAATCTGCATTTGCATAATCACATTATATATCACAAGTTTATATATTTATTGTATATTTATATTTATAAAATCTAGACTTTATATGTTATGTGTGCATATGTATATATTAGATAATTTATGAAATCTTTCACTTGAGATTTAGTCATAAATTTGGTAAAAGTATTAAGCTTGGCCAGTTCTCTAAAATGTTTTCACTGCAGGGGCCAATGCTGTGGCACAGGTTATTAATCCTCCGCCTGCAGCGCCGGTATCCCACGTGGGCGTCAGTTCTAGTCCCAGCTGCTCCTCTTCCGATCCAGCTCTCTGCAGATGGCCTGGGAAAGCATTAGAAGATGGCCCAAGTCTTGGGCCCCTGCACTCGTGTGGGAAACCTGAAGGACGCTCCTGGCTCCTGGCTTCAAATAGGCCCAGCTCCAGCCGTCGCTGCCATTTGGGGAGTGAACCAGTAGATGGAAGACCTTTCTCTCTGTCTCTCCATCTCACTGTCTGTAACTCTACCTGTCAAATAAATAAAATAAAATATTAAAAAATGTTTTCACTGCATACCACTGTATTTCTAGAAACAGAAGTAACATATATGATCAACTTTATCTATAGTGCTTTTTTATTTTATAAAACAACTCAATGTTTCCAATTGTAGTTCCTTTATGATTATCAAAGTCCCCATTGCTGAGATTATTGTTTTATAATATTCAACCAGAACTTTTATGTTGTTTCCTAGTGTTTGAGGACTTTCAGTTATCATGTTCAGAGAGTATTCAGATATAGTAGAGACTTCAGGAGAAATAAATTGCCTGAAATCCTTCACAAAACTATAATTATATTAAGGACTTCATAAAGTATAAGCCTAATGAAATTATAGGCATGTAATTATCAATGAATTTTTAATAGTCTGTAATTTATTTCTGCCAAATTTCTGTAATTTAGCACTTTATAGTCTGGAATGCTATATTACACACAGGACATGTTTAAAACATATGCCACATGTTTTAAATTGGTAAAAGAGCAGTGAGACAAAAAGACAAATTTTTGCATTCTGGTATAACCATAATATCTATTTAAATCTATATAATTTTGCATTTGTAATTTGAAGATAATTCAAAATAATTGAAGATGCCAACCTCAGTTATAGGCGAGACAGAGGAACCAAGCTCACTCATAGGGGCCGGCACTGTGGCAAAGTGGGTAAAGCTGCCACCTGCAGTGCCAGCATCCCATATGGGCGCTGGTTCGAGTCCCAGCTGTTCCATTTCTGATCCAGCTCTCTGCTATGGCCTGGGAAAGCAGTAGAAGATGGCCCAAGTCCTGGGCCCATGCACCTGCATGGTAGACCCGGAGGAAGTTCCTGACTCATGGCTTTGGATCAGCGCAGCTCTGGCCGTTACGGCCAGTTGGGGACTGAACCAGCAAATGGAAGACCTCTCTCTCTCTCTCTCTCTCTCTACCCCCTCTCTCTGCTTCTCTGTCTCTCTGTGTAACTTACTTTCAAATAAATAAATAAACCTTTTTAAAAAAGCATTTAAAGCTATTTGTCTTCTTTTTCTTTTTTCTTTTTTTTTCCTCTTCAGGAGAATATTTTAAGAAAGATTATGGCTAAGAGACAAGCTTAAAATCTTCAAGAAACATATTATTAAGCTACTTAATAATGTTTATAAACTCTATTTACAAACAACATTCATGTTGTATCATATATATACAGTGCAGTATAATTCATGCTATAATACACACATGTTGTTTATATATAATGCATTATATATATACTTTAGCATAATGCATTATAAAATTTTTGTTTATAAACATTTAATGCATTATTTTATAATGCAATATATATTGTTTATAACACATATAATACACTATTTAAAAATTTATAAAATATTGAAAACATTTTTCAAAATGATTCATTTCAAACATACTTCGTAAGAAAGAAAAACTGGAATAAAACTTTATGATTTTCAACATTCAATGGTAGAATTTCATGAAGAGGGAATTACTAGAAAATGAGTGTTGCAATTAAGAATGCAGGGTCAGGGGCTGACACTGTGGGCACTGTGGTATAGAGGGTAAAGCCTCCACCTGCAAGTGTTGCTAGTAGGGCTTTTGTTTCCATCTTCTGAGGGAAGGGGAAAAAAGATCAAACAAGTAAGCAGCCTATCGTGTCTATTAAAAGGTGTGGTTGCCAATGACTAACACAATCATTTCCCACTTGAAGAGCTTCAGGTTCAAAACACAGTTTCAGTTATCTCTGAAACGAAAGGAATGCTCACCATTCTATCACCACTTCCACTCTCTGAGATCATTGCCATATCAACTTTGGGGATGTAGGCATCAGGTCATGAGTCTGAGATGAAGAGAAAATGCTACCCTAAAAACATCCTCGGAGATAAATGTCAGAGCAGAACTACTGCTCAATCACCTCTTTGTTAAGGCACTCATCTTGCAGAACTGACAATTCACAGGATGCAACTATGTACATGATATGCTAATTAAATTTTTTTCATGGTGTGACCTTCATATTAAATAATATATAATGTCCTCCAAACTTAACACACCCCCAGAAATATCATGTATTAAAATAGGACCTGCTTATTGGGTGTCATCAACAGAAAATAGTTATAAATGAATTTCTAAAGCTAGTAGGCTCTACCCCAAAATTTCTGCATAATTTTGTTTACTGTACTGAGGACCTAAATGACATTCTCAAGTACAATTTTTTTTAAAAAGTAATCTACTAGATCCTATTCTTCCTCTATTGGATTGTGAAGCAGGGAAGTCAAGCTAAGAATAAAAGCAGCCCTTTCGCTATCAGAGTAGCTCAGACCTCTCCAAGGTGACATTTGCAACTCACATCAAGCCTGAGTTATTATTGGGGCTAGCGTTATATGTCAAAACTAAAGGAGAAGGGCTAGTGAGGACACTTTTTTGCTTCAAATGAAGCAAACTGAGATGTACATCATTTTACTCATGCACTGAATTCCCCTCCCCTTTTTTCCCTCCTGCTGCTTTCCTGCTTGGAGCTGACTCCTCCTTCCTGCAGCTCAGAGGATCACAGGCTGGTTGAAGAACTCTGAGGTTTGGATGGTAGCCTGTTTCCAGGCTCTCTATTGACACTCTCTCTCTCTCTCTCTCTCTCTCTCTCTCTCTCTCTCTCTCTCCCCCTCCCTCCTGCCCTCCCTCCCTCTCTCTTTCCCCCTCCTTCCCTCTCCCCCCTCTCTTTCCTTCTGTCTCTGCCATCAGAGCTGAAACCTACCTGACAATCTCTGCCTTTGAATCCAGCTCTGGAACAAAACGCATCATTTCACAGCGCTTAAAAGTGAATACAGTTTGATTACCTCAAGCTACAAGCTGCTTTGCTCCGCAGAAGCCCCCAAACGGATCCAGACGGCCTTGCTTATCAGTCTACCTGAGGAGTTTGCTTGTTGCCTGAAACTTGATGGTGGGAGAGAGGTTTTGGTTTGTTCCTTTTTAATTGGAATGTTGAAAAGTTTCTTACTAATGCTTGAAATGGAACACCCTTTTTAAATATGGGTTGAGGCAGATCTAAAGGAAACTTACCTGGCAATTTCCTGCAGGACTGGCTGGGGGAAACATCTAGAGGATAACTTGGTAGGAGAAATGAGATCTGATTTACAACAGCTGTTTTGAAAAAAAAATCACGAGTTATTGAGAAGGTTAAGTAAATATTGACCCAGGACAATGCCTTTATTTCTCAGTAACTTATTAACAAATGACTCCAGCCTGTGGAAAGAAAATCATAATTCTACGGACCTTTTAGATCCACCAGGAACTCTGAATATCTATCTGTTTTGTCTGACATGTTTAATGACTCTTGCAGCCCTGGCGGGCAGCATTTTTTCACTGATTTCCCTGCTAAAAATGCAGAACCGAACTGTTGTGTCCATGCTCGTGGCTTTCTTGTCTGTGGATGATTTCCTGGGCGTCCTGGCGGTGACTATCTTCATGTTTTTGCAGTGGCCAGGCGAGGTCCCTGGCAACTTCCAGTCTCTGTGCACCACCTCTGCCTTACTGTATTTATGCCAAGGCCTCTCCAGCAACTTGAAGGCGACTCTGCTAGTCTCCTACAACTTTTACACTTTGCGCAGAGCTGTGATGAGCCAGGCAAGCTCCAGGAGCTCGGGCCAGGTCCTTGGCGTGGCGCTGGCCCTGTGGGCAGTCAGCCTGCTGCTCTCGGCGCTCCCGCTGTGCGGCTGGGGCTCCTTCGTGCGCACGCCCTGGGGCTGCCTGGCCGACTGCTCCAGTTCCTACGTGCTGCTCCTCTTCGCCGTGTATGCTTCGGCCTTCGTGCTGCTCGCTGGTCTCTCGCTCCCGCTCATTCTCCAGTTGCTATGTTCGGAGGAGCCGCCGAGACTGCACGGCAACTATCAGGAAATTTCCCGAGGGGCTTCCACTCCCGGCACCCCTCCTACCGGGGGAAGAACGCTTTCCCTGTCTCCCGAGACTGCTCCGGACCGGGCTGTGCGCTGCGCTGCGGGAGGCTCCCCGAGCTCGGACACCGTTTTTGGAGCCGGACCGCGAGCTGCCGCTGGGGCTGGAGCCCGCAGGAGCGAGCACCGGGGGACTCTCTATGGCACCAGAAGCTACACCGTGAGCGTCGCGCAGAAGCGCTTCGCCTTGATCCTAGCGCTGACTAAAGTCCTCCTTTGGCTGCCCATGATGGTAAAAGTGCATTTGTTCTGCGTCCGTGAGTGCCGGGCGGCGTGGGTGCAGGTAGGGATTGGTGACGCGGGTTTGGGGAGTCGCCAGCAGATGCCCAGTTAAGTCCGCTTCCGAACGTGTCTCTAGGTTTGAGAGACGCTTTGCTGGAAGGCCGACCGCAGGGAGGGCCAGTCAGCCGCGAAGCTTTGGCTACTGAGCTTCTTGTATAGGCATTGAGGAGAAAGGGGAGCACTTTCGGTCGTGGGCGACTTTCCATGGGGTTTCCCTAGATCTATCGTTACAAAGGACAGCAAAATCTGGGAATATTCACAAAAGGAGGGGCAGAGTGAAAAGAGTCTCTTCTCCGACGGTCTGGCTTCCTTTTCTCTTTGCTCCATTCCGGTCTGGTGAGGGCGCCGCCCATCCTCAGCCTGGGAAAGAAGGGAACCCAGTCCAGGAAGGAAAGAGGCGACAAAAGAGTTTCTGCTTCCGGACGCCAGGGGTGAGCCCAGTTGAGAGATGACAGAGTGGAGCCCTGCTGTGACAAGCATGCCTGGGCAGAGGTGAGGGTCCAGGGATGTGACAAAGGCCATCTGCAACCACAGATGCAAGTCCCATGGTCGCCAGATTCCCTGTGTGATGTCCCCCACGTTGTTGACTGTGCTTTCCTGGCTTGACTTGGAAACTGACACAGATCTACTACTCTAGAGCAGGCATCACCAAAATTCTGATCTGGCACATTGCGGGTGCATCTCACCTGTTCCCTGGAGTCCACGGACAGGTGCAGAGATTCTGGTTTTCACTCAGCAAAGGGTATGGGGCAGTGTGATTGCAGGAAAGGCTTAGCAAGCAGAAAATGGGATTCTGGGCTGGGTCTCAAGTTCTGTTCCCCTTTGCAGATCCACATGGTGGTCAAACACGTGAAAGAGTTTCAGAACCTTCCCTTGGAGACACTCAGCTTTCTACTAACCCTGCTGGCCATCACTGTAACCCCTGTATTTGTCTTGTCCAAACGCTGGACCCATTTGCCCTGTGGCTGCATCATCAACTGCAAGCAGAACACACTGGCAGTGGCATCTGATGGGGAAAAAAGTAAGTTTGGACAGTGTGGCAATTGGAAGCAATATGCATGCAGTCAAATACAGAAAAGTGGTCCATCGACAAAGTTGTCCAAGTAGGAGATAAGAGGCCAAGGACAAATGTAAGTGGTAAATAGTCAGAAAATGATTACATGAAATAAACCTTAACATGTTGCAATGGGTTTCAAATGAGGTAGGTTTTAAACAATACTGTGAAGTATTCGCACATTAAGGAATTATTTTAGGTAAGAAAGGAGGAAAACAATATTCATTCATCTTCAAAACCCTAAGATATATCCACCATAGCTTTCATTCCAAGTAGAAAACAAATTCCCCTCCCAAATCTATAAATTGCTATGAGAAGCCAGCATCTGAAAAGACATTGTTTACTCTCTGAAAAGAATTTAAAACTCATGTTATAACCATTATAATTCAGCAGAACAGAAAGAAAAATATTTTCATGATTTTGCTGCCTGTATACTTATATTCGAGTTTTGAAAAGTTTTCAGATTAAGTAATCTGAATGCCTGAAAACAATTCTAAAGCAAAATTTAAGTGTGTACCTCTGTTAGAAACACATAGCAAAGAGCACCTTCTGTTTCAAGAAAAGACATTGGTGGCAGTTTGTCTTTTATGTTCATGTATGAATCGAGCCACGCTATTTACTTTTTGTAAAAATCTATGTTCTACAAAGTAACCATAGAATGGGAATGGGAGGCAGGGCCAACTATAAAACTCTCCACAGTATAATTGTTTCCATAGTCTAAGGCAGGAAAAAATTGAGAAAGGATCTTTATATTTTGACCCTGCCAGAAAGGAAAAGGATCATTCCAGACAAAAGATAGACTGTACCATTTCATGAATCTAAGACTGCATGCTGAATTAACTGTCTCATTAATTATTCTTGCTGAGAATAAGCAAGTATATTCTTCTTTAACAAAGAAGAGAGGTTTAAAAGCAGTTCATCTCAGACTATTTTATGGTTGTAAAAATTGGCGAATACCAAAGCACATTCTGTAAGGAGCTCAACAACAGGGTTATTTTATAAATATTAGTTATCCATGATTTGACATATTCCATGCATTGATAACATTTAAAATTTAGAATGCCTAGATATTTTTCAAATGATAGAAATGTTTTTATTGTTAATATAAACATTTATTGTTAATAGATGCCAAAATCATCTTTGTGTTTAAAATAACCAAAGAAAATAATGATGTGCCTCTGAAGATTAATATCCAGAGCAACAGAGAAAACTAACAAACTGTTTTAAAACACTTATAAAAACACAAACATAGAAGAAATCATTTACAAGCCTAAAGGTTCTAGCAGTCTAACAAATATTAACATTTGTTACTAAATTAGTGAACCGATCCTGTCTTATAACATTTAAGATTATGAGGAAAATTAAGTCTAGTGTCAGTGAAAATGAATTTAAGTCTCAATAAGGGGTTTAGGGAAGTCATTTTAAGTGGGGAACACCCATCTAGCTGAAAACAAATCAATGCAACAGATATATTATTACAGAGGACCTAGGAAAGACTCTCTCTCTGTCCTGAATCTGACAGAAGAGCCTATAGTAGGCTAGATGCTTCTAAATCAAATGGTTCCATTCTGTCATATGATCCAGGCTATGCCACAGGGAAATTCTCAAAATAAAAATGAGAATTTTTACTGTTTAAGGAGCTACCATAAATTTTCCTTCCATTAGGATGACACAACAGAATTTTGAGACCCCAAAATGGCTTATTCTCAGGCAGTCCAGATGCTTGATCAACTATATGACTAATTCTTTGAGGGTATGGCTTTGGTTTTACATTTAAACTTTTTCTCCTTAACAAACTAGGATTGTCAACCCTATCTTCTTTTACATTGTTTATCAATGAACTCTGAAGCAAGGGAAAGTATTTTTTTTTCCTCACCCATGTTTACCAAGGAATCATATTACAGATGTAAATACATGTAATTCTACATCTTAGCACCAATGAATGGGAATTGAGCTATGGGCAACCAAAGGTGAATGTCAGTACTAGAAAATAATTTGCAAAAATAAGAATTCTCTACTGTTTCCATCAATAATCTGCACTATTAGTGCCTAAGGTGAAGTGTTTTGAGGAAAAAAAAAGAATTTTTAAGACAGAAGGCTCAGGTAGTAGACACAGGGGTTGTAAATGGCTTTCAGATTAATTGACTGACATGATGATTTCTTTCTTTAAACAAATAGTTAAAATGAAATATTTGATAGAAAGATTGTATTTTCTTTCACTTTTTATTTTTTCACAAATCAGAGTATCTGGTAAGTGACATAGTCTGAAAAGTTATTCATTTTATTTAACTGAGAATTACATCTAAAGTTACAATTTGTAAGATGTGATTAAAAGTACTAATTCATGTTTTATCCAGGGTTTGGGAATAATGAAGCTTTTGCTTTGCAAGATAAATACATTGTTTATTTTTCAGAAGTGCAGTATGGGTTTCAAAAGATCTTTGACTATATTCTGATGGTCTAATTTTCTTGCAAGTTATTAATCAACAAAGGATCTCAGATTATACACAAAAAATTTAAAAACAACTCAACTATTGCTTTTGTTTGTTTTGCTTTGTATTTTAGTGACATAAAATTAGGGGCCAGGAATTCCACTATTTTCAGGACTTTTGTCATATAAATAAAAAGTTTTTTAAAGGCATCATTTCTCAGAGCAAGTTTGACCTACTTGAGTCACATATCAGAGTGCCTGGATTTGATACCTGGCTCCAGCTCCTGACTCCAGCAGACCCTAGGATGATTTAAGTACTTGGTTCCTGCCACATGTTTGGTGAACCTAGATTGAGTTTCTGACTCCTGGCTTCAGCCCAATGGCACTTGTGTGCATTTAGGGGAGTGAACCCATGGATGGTAAAGTTCTCTGTGTCTATCTTCTCAAATTAAAAAAAATAAAATAAAATTTTCCAAAATCCCATTTACTTTTAAAAAGATATCACTTCTCTGAAATCATATTCAATTAACTACCATCACTAAGTTGTGACTATCCCTAGCATGCCAGGCATGATTCCTATAGGCTGCTTTATTCAGTACCTCACTCACTCAAGCATTTCTTAGGAGAGTGTAACTATGTGTCTAGCACTGTGCTGTGTTTTCACTAAGGAAAAGAAGTTCCCAAGTCATGGCCCATGGAGTTGATTTTTGTCTCAAAGACATGGTTGTTTAATCCAATCTGTATGGTTATTTTAAATATAAAATGTTAAGATCAGTATATTTCATATTTAAAAATTTTTAAGGTAAGTATATTTTATATTAGAATCTGCATAACTGCTTTGTCTTCAGAAGTCAGAATAGCTGACAACACAAACGCTGTGCCTTTGACAACAACTGACTGGAGCTAAGAATCTGCTTTGGATGTAGGGTAGTTTCCCATTTGCTATAACATATGCAATTTACTAATTCTGTAGCTATTTAAACTTTTCACTAATAAAAATAAATAAGCCAGACATGTTCTTGCCCTCAAAGCACTTAAAGATAACCAATTTAAATTTTATGCTAGTATTTCTTTCAACATAGTATCATTAACTATGTTATTTTTGACAATTTTTTTCTAGAAGTTTCCCCCCTTACAGCCAATCTCTAGTCAAACGTTGTAGTCTTTGTGCTAATATAATAATCTATTGTCTCCGTATGATCTTTGTCAGAATTTATCTTTAATGCTAAAGGAAGTCATTAACTAGAAATGTTTTCATTGGCTATATATCATAATATGTATGTACATATGATGCATAGACAATATAATATATATGTATATGGATGTACTTCCTCTGACTTAGAAATAGCACATCCATGTCATTCTGCTGTCATCATCATTGTTGTCTCATGGATGTGATTAGCAGTAAAACAATTTCATATAGAAGCTAATAACCTGAATTCTAGATTCAGTTATCTTTCTGTTCAAATCTTTTTTCACCAAGTAAGTAGTTTCAGGTTAGTGTCTTCTATCAGCTTGTTTTCTTAACTTTATAGTAGAACCAGTAAACTTTTATTGTGTAGGATGTTAGTGTATTAGAAACTATGATTTATGTGCATAACCAGGCCTTGGAAGTGTCTGTCACATCATGGTCTCTTTCACAAATCTGCTTTCTTCTCAGAGCCTACTACAGACTGCCTCATGGTCCTCGTAATATGGAGGCAGTTTCCATGAATACATTTATACTCCTTCAAAAATACTTCTAATTTTTAGTTTATTTATTTCAGAGTCATAACATGTAACTAATAAAATATGTAGTCATAGGCATCAATTTTATCGAAAAAGTCATAAAACTGAGATTTTGACAAATTATCTCTTTATAAATTTTTAGGAAAAAGGGAGGTCATCAATAATTAAAATATTCTTTTATTTCATTCACCTTCTAAGTTACAAGTCCTAATTTAAGTTTATTGCTCCACAATATGAGAAAATAAGTAGAAATATAAATGAGAAAATGTATAAATTAACACCTATTTCTATCCTCCATTTTTAATAGGAACTTTTCATGTTAACACTATTGCTCAAACAACAACAAATGATATTTATAAATTATACTTTTCAGACAGTAGCACTGCTCAGTAAATCTCTGGTTCTGGGAACATTTCAGTAATAGATCAGCTTGTAAAAGCCACTAAGGTGTATTATAAAATGAATCAAATTTTACCTATTATTCCCACAGAAACTTTAGAGCTTTTCATAATTTTTCTACCAAAGATAGCTAAATGTCTGATTATAAAACACAGAGCAATCAAAGTAGAAAATGTGTTTGAAACAAGCTGTATTTTAAAAGATAAAAACCAAAACATTCATCTGTATTTTGTCTACCACCTTGATATAACTTCATTCTTAATACATAAAAATTATATACTATTTAATGACTTTCACACTCAAAATTATTGCACTTTCTGTCACATTCTAATTTGTTACTAAGACTTTATATCATATTCACTAACTAATACTATTATATTTAGAAGACCATAGTATTTCCATAACAAACTGTATATTCCTATTGAACTCATCTTGAAACTTATTAGCTTTACAGATACTGTGAAAAGCTTCAGTTCACAGAAATATTCATATATTCACTTTATTACCAATTCATTTAAAAATTTATTTGTACCAGAAATTTACATGTTGTTTTTAAAGTTTTAAAGCTGTATGGCAACATGGAAAATTCTTTTTTAAGATTTACTTATTTATTTGAAAGTCAGAGTTAGAAAGAGGAAGATACAGAGAAAGAGATCTTACATCTGCTAGTTCATTACCCAAATGGCCAAAATAACCAGCTCTCCCACATGGGTGCGGGGGCCCAAGCACTTAGAACATCTTCCACGCTTTGCCAGGACATCAGCAGAGAACTTGATTGGAAGTACAGCAACCTGGAGATACTGGTGTCACAAGTGGCAGCTTTACCAGCTACACATAAAGCCTATTCCCAAGGTCTAATTTTTAATGTATACATTTATAGACATAAAAATGTCAATGTTTAAAGTAGACATATCTATTGGTATTGTCAGATGAATAATTCTTATAATGTTAAGGCTGAGTAATAATTAATTTTATATTTTTTAAAGATTTATTTACTTATTTGAAAGGCAGTTACAGACAGAGGGAGAGACAGAGAAAGTGGTCTTCCATCCACCGGTTCACTCCCCAAATGGCTGCAACTGCCAGAGCTGTGCCAGGCCAAAGCCAGGGGCCAAGAGTTTCTTTCAGATTTTGCAAATGGGTGCAAGGGCCTAAGCACTTGGGCTATCTTCTACTGCTTACCCAGGTCATTAGCAGGGAGCTGGATGGGAAGTGGAGCAGCCATGACTCAAACCAACACCCATATGAGATACTGTCACCACAGGTGGAGGGCTAACCTACTATGCCACAGCACTGGCCCCATAATAATTAACTTCTAACAAAATGAAATTTATCAACAATATATTTTATTCCAAAATAGTGTACAAAATAATTGGCAGAATGAAAAACCAAAAACTAAATATATTCCAGAGTTTTCTAATCTATAGTGAATTTTTGTTACATAAAACTGTTTCAAAAACTGAAAGTATCTTTGGGATTATATGTATTTTGAGTCCTTCATTGGTAAAGTAAGAAAAATTAGGTCTGAAATGATGAGGATTTGAATTTTTAAGGCTTAAATGTTTTGCATAAATTAAAAGAACTAAAGATAGTTTTTCATAATAAACAGGTTGTGATTTCTATTTATATTCACTATGTATAGCCAACTAGTGTTTATATCTACTTCACTAACCATGAGTTTTGTTGTTTTTACTTAGCCAAGAGGAAAGGCTTTGAATTCAATCTATCATTCCAACAAAGTTATGGAATTTATAAAATAGCACGTGAAGATTACTATGATGATGATGAAAATTCCATATCCTATCAAAATCTGATGAACTATGAGTGTGAAACTACAAAAGACTGTCAAAGAGACAACCGTAATATCTTCAATACCATAAAAGTCGAAATCAGCACCACACCCTCTCTGGACAGCTCCACACTGAGAGGCATTAACAAATGCACAAATACTGATATTACAGAGGCCAAACAGGATTCAGACAAAGATGACAGTGTGTTTTCTGACAAAAGAGAAAGTGATATTAACTATGAAGAAACCACCTTTTTTGAAGGGCCAGAGAGAAGGCTATCTCATGAGGAGAATCAGAAACCAAATCTTTCAGACTGGGAGTGGTGTAGGAGTAAATCAGAAAGAACGCCTCGTCAGGTACAGTAAAGGTTGCTCTTCCTGTGAAACTAAAAGTGGCATTAAATATAAAAGGCATAAAAAAACTCTCCGTTGAATATTTCATTCAGTCAAGTCAAAGGTTAATTTTACTTGCCTAAAATTTCAATAATAATTTATCTTAAGGTGTCTTTTGAGGGACTTTTTAATTTTTAAAAATATTTTACATTTGCATTTAAAATCTAGACATTTTTAGAATCATCAGAGTCAACTGAGATTTTTGAGAATGGTAAGACATTTTATTTTAACTTCAACTGATCTCTTTAAATTCAGAGAAGACACTCAGAACTCATGCTGTGAGTTAATTAGTTTAATTAGTTAGCTTGCTGATTTTTCCCCTCCTGTGTTCTAAACGCATATCAAAAGTCCTCAACAGAGGTTTTTTTCTTTATGCACAATGATACTTATGCAACTAGACATGAGGGGTATTGTCTTAGGAACTATGCTAGATAGCTTCCCTATCTGTCCAGTGGGAACCAGTTGCTCTAGTACCCAGAGAAGAAAATAAGATTTATTCCAGAATATATTCTGGTGAGCTTTTTCAAGGCCTGCTGAATGTCCTATTTCTTTAAAGATGGGAAAGTGTTTTTATAATGTTTTACAGAACTGATAGAATTTGCCAATAAATCATTTCATCCTCTTCTAGATTCCAGCCTGCCTAGAATAATGAAGGATACTTTCTATTTTATTGAAATTGCAGTGTGATATTGATATGAGATAGTTCTTTTCTCCAAACTCTCATAAGATGATAATTAAAGTTGACCTTGCTCTCTACACTATTGATTTCTGAGGAAGATAGCCATTTTCTACATGATTTAAAAGAAATAAGAATCTACTTGCCATTCATCTCTAAAATCAAAAACATAATTTTAGAAATATTCTGCTAGGAATGGTGCATTCAGTGATCAAAATATGACCATATAGCACCAAACTATGAATATAAAGAGAATAATCAGAAAATTCCTTTAGTCTCATGGATTTAGTGAAACTACTAATCTCACTCTGATGTCATCTTTAAAAAAGAAACAAAATAGTGAAACAAAATATACAAAATACATTATTAGAAAAAATAATTGCGCATACTGTTTACTGGTTAATAATACCACAAAAATATCAGTAAATGCTTGTCATAATTAAATAACCCAGTATAAAGTGGAGATCAAATATTGCGAATTTTCAGTACAATTTGGTTCTACATTTAAATGGGGGAATTCCTACACATTCATCAATCTGTTCATGCATAATCTAAAGTTCCTGTTTTTCTCATGCTTAAAAATTATATAGTATTCAAAATGAAATGTGCACGCATATGTTTGTGTGTGTGTGTGTGTGTGTGTGTCTCCCAAAACTCTGGAGCTATTTTTTGTGCTAGTACCCTATACCTTAATGCTTATCCCTTAGTGGTTAGTTATCTTGAATCTCACTCATGCTTTTTGTTGTATTATTTTATCACAAATGTATGTACTTTTAATAGTATTTTGCTTAGTTTGGCTAATTTTGAGCTTTGTAAGATAACATTATTACTATATGTAGTATTCTAGTACTCACTTTGTTTACTGAATATTACTTTAAATGACTCCATTTTCTTATATATCTTGTCAAAACTTTCGGAATTATTACCTCAAATATCACAATGTATAGCCGTCATTCAAAAGTCCTGGCAGATGGAGCAGATGTTTGGCCTTGCACTCAAGAAATGCATTAGGATGCCCACATCCTATCTCAGAGTGCCTGGGTTTTATTCCCAGCTCCAGCTCCCAATTCCATCTTCCTGATAATACACTCTGAAAGGTAGCAGATGACGGGCTCAAGTTTTTGGTCACTGTCACCCACAAGCTCTTGGGTGTGGCTTGGTCCAGCCCCAGCCATTGCAGGCATTTAGGGAATAAACGAGCAGATGGGAATCCTCCTCTATATATGTTTCTATGTGTGTGTGTGTGTGTGCACGCACCTTTCAAATAAATAAAAATCTAAAAAGTGAAAGTCTTGGTTATAGTTTACAAAATACAATTAAGTATACCTAGAAATGTGAAAGTAGCAGACACTGTTAAAACCTAAGTACATTGTCTTATGAGAATGATGAACTACAATTTACCTACAATTTCTATTTAAATTTTAATAAATGACATGCTATATGAAAAGTAGAAAACTTTATTCAGATATTTTTCGCCTATAAAGATTTTCTTCTTAAATAATAACATTTGAACATGTGTAATGAGCAATAGTTCAAGAAACTTACACAAAATGATGGCTGTGGAAAATAATGATTAATGATAAAGAAGAAAATAAAATATTCAGGAAAGGTAAACCTTCCTATCTCCAGAAACTAACTAAAATTGAGTGAAATAGTATAATAAATTTTCAAACAGCAGTAACAAATCTTTAAACTACAGACTGATATTGGTATGACCTTCCCTTAGCAAGACTGTTTATGGTCATTAATATTAGCATGGCAAAATAACAAAATTTTGAAATTACAAAATTTCAAAACATTTTAGATTATAGAATTACAATAGCAACAAAACACAATTAGGGGTCATAAGCTTAAGAGAAATTCCATAAAACTCAAGACAGATTTTAAGTCCTATCCTATTCTTCAGAAGCAGATGATACATGGCAGTTCATGGTGACTGAGACAACACTTCATTTTTTTTCTTTTTTTTTTAACTTTTATTTAATGAATATAAATTTCCAAAGTACGGCTTATGGATTACAATGGCTTCCCCCCCATAACGTCCCTCCCACCCACAACCCTCCCCTTTCCCATTCCCTCTCCCCTTCCATTCACATGAGGATTCATTTTCAACACTTCATTTTTACCCTTTTCTTCCAACCACTTTCTTCACTTTGAGAACAATGTTAATTTATGTATGTTAAATAGTGGTACATTAAACTATGGTAGACACTGCCTGTACTCTGTGAAACCCTTCCTCTTTGAATTTTTTAAACTTTTATTTAATAAATATAAATTTCAAGAGTACAACTTTTGGATTATGGCAGCTTTTCCCCTCATAACCTCCCTCCCACCTGCTACCATCTCATCTTCCATTCCCTCTCCCATCCCATTCTTCATCAAGATTCATTTTCAATTATCTTTATATACAGAAGATCAACTTGGTATATACTAAGTAAAGATTTCAACAGTTTGCACCCACACAGATATACAAAGTATAGAGTACTGTTTGAGTAGTAGTTTTACCACTAATTCACATAGTACAACACATTAAGGACAGAGATCCTACATGGGGAGCAAGTGTACAGTGACTCCTGTGGTTGATTTAACAACTGACGCTCCTATTTATGAAGTCAGTAATCACCCAAGACTCTTGTCATGAGCTGCCAAGGCTATGGAAGCCTCTTGAGTTCACAAAGTCTGACCTTATTTAAACAAGGCCATAGTCAAAGAACTTCTAGTTCTCTCTTCCGTTCAAAGTAAGGCACCTCCTTCTTTAATGGCCCATTCTTTCTGCTGGGATCTCACTCAGAGATCTTTCATTTAGGTCTCTCTTTTTTTTTTTTTTTTTCCCACATTGGTTATACTTCACTTAGGCTCAATTGATAACCTCATATCTAATCATGTGTGTTTGTTCTTAGTAGTTTAAAAACAGCAGACTTGATTTCAACTATATTATGTGAGTTCTACTTTATATTTTTACAGTATATTTAGCTTAACTTCTTTATTAGAGTTTATGTTATTAAGTGAATTCTCAGTTTATCTGGATGGAAGTCCTGGTAGCAGCAAGAAAATCAGATCAAGGTTAAGATATGAAAAAGATGGTAGTAGAATGGTTTTAGTAGATTTAAATATGATTCAATAAATTTTATGAATTAAAGGTGTTTGTAAGAATAAAATGTAGTGTTAAACTTGGTCACACACAATTGTTTCTTTTTTGAACCTCTAATAGAATCTTTAAGGCTTACTATTAAAATATTCAGAAGGAATAATCAGAAGTGTCTGTTTTTCTTTTTTTTTGGCAAAATAATTTTACATTTATTGTATATAACAATTTAACATATTATATTTTTAAATATTTTTCTTATATTTTACAATATGTTTATGATAGATTAAAATTTAAAATAACTATATCCTATTAATCATGCTTTAAATATGAGTCCATCAATTTCATATATGCTATCATTTTTATGACAAAGCAAAGCAATGCTATTGTTTAAGCTCTAAGCAATTCCTGTTGTGGGTATTCAGCTTGACATGGCTGCAGTCATCTTGATCATAACGGCCATCTTTCCTTCCAGGTGCTCCCCTGGTAGTCATCTCAAAGCTTATGGGACAAACAGAGTCCTAAGATAATCCGTCACTCTTAACTGACGCCTGGAATAGCTCCTACAAATATTCATATTTCCTGAGAAAGTCCAGGTACATTCCAATCGGCCATGGACACTTTTATCTATCTTAGCATGTAAATCTTTTCTGTCAAGCTTCATGGTGGGGAATCCTCTTGTCTTCCTGCTGCCCAAGACATGCTTCTATCTACAAGTGTCTAGTAAATTACATTCTGCGTGATTTCCTGAAATTTTCCACCAATTTCTTTAGTCTCCTAACATCTTCCTTGTTTATAACAAGTATAACAACTTGATATAACTACTGGTTGTTATATACTGGGTTTCTCCAAAACAACTATAAATCATATGGTTTTTAAATTTTATTTTTTACAGAGAACTCTTTTAGACTAACACAATTTCTAAAAATAAAATTACTGTTATGTATGTATAAAAAGAAAATATTAATGCAGTAAATTAATGAAGTTATTTCTTAAATTTCTGCATGCCAACAGTCCATTGCTTAAGACTCATTTTCATCTTAGAGTTATTGATATCTGTGTTTTCCACTAAATATTTGCCTTCTGTGTCACTGAAGGGATGAGGACATGATATTTCTTTTTTGTTTTTTTTTGTTGTTGTTGTTGTTGCCTCCCTTTTGCTTCTTTTTTTATTTATTGTTTATTTAGTAAATATAAATTTTC